GAAACTGACCACCAAAGAGATGGACAGGCCCAGGTCACTTGGTAGCAAGTGGTGAAGCCACCGTGACCTGCAGCTCCCCCATTTGATTGACAAGAATCCAGAACTCCACATGGCTACAGCGATGGAAGCAAACCCAGCAAAGCTGTCCTGAGTCTTGGAATAGATGCTGCAAAGCAGCTCAGCGGGTTTGTCATGACTGCAACCTGATTTTACTCTCCCACTTCTTCCCCGCCCTCTGGGCTGCCAGAAAGGGAAGCTGAAACTGACAGGCAGCCAGGCCAAGGAGGTGTGAAATGTGCCTGTCCTTGTTGCTAAAGAGATCTGGAACAGGGATGGGAGTCTCATGGCTAGAGTGATGTCCTGGAGACTAAGGTTTGGACTGGGCCCCACCTGGCTGACAGGAGACAGGCCTAAGCCCTTGTGGGGTCTGAGGGATTGGAAGAAGAATGTCGGGGGAGGAGGGAGAGCGACCGCCTGAGCTTGGCCTGGTGGCTCTGTCTTTGCCATCAGCCTCCTCCCTGCCAGCCCCCTGCCGTAGGTTGAGTCCAGCCCTCACCTTTCTTGCCTGGTTTGTTATAAAGGGCTCCTGACAACCACGTCTGCCCTGAGTCCTTCCCATTCACTCCATCCATAAAACTCAGCTGACTGATCACTCACCTGCTGAAACCCTGCGAGTGGATCCACACCCCCCACTGCTCAGAGTTCTGTGTGTGGCACTCTCAGTCCCGATTCTCAGGCACTGTAACAACAGTTGTTGTCTCTGCCAGACCTGTACCCATTCCCACACTTCTCTGGGCTAAGCTGCTGCAACTGGCCTCTGGAAAAATAGCCCCCTCCTGCTTTTCAGTCCATGTGGCTTGGACTGTGATGGAGTTTGGATGTGTTGTCCCCTCCAAAACTCTTGTGGAATTTTGCTCCTCAATGTGGCACCATTAGAAACTGATTGAGTCATGGGGGTGGATCCCTCATGAATGGATTAATGCTCTCCCTGGGGGAGGGGGGATAAATGAATGAGTTCTTGCTCTATTAGTTCCTGCGAGATCTCGTTGCTTAAAAAGACCCTGGCACCTCCTCTCTCTCTCTTGCTTCCTGTTGCCATGTGATCTGCTTGTACCCACCAGCTACCTTCCACTTTCCACCATGAGTAGAAGCAGCCTGAGGCCCATGCCAGATGCAGCTGTCCCAGAATCGTAAGCCAAATAAACCTCTTTTCCTTATAAATTACCCAGTTTCAGGTAATTCTGTTATAGCAACACAAAATGGACTAAAACAGGTTGGTACTACCAGGGCAGCCATGTGACTTGGGAATGATCAATATGCACATTCTAGACCTCTGGCCACAATGACTACCTCAGTGATGGGCCAATGAGAGGATTCTCTGAGACTCTGATTAGGACTCTTGGGAAAGATGCAATTTCTTTCCACTGGGGTTTTTAAGCTGGTTGAGTAGTGGGGGCCACTATACGGCAAGAGCCTGCTTGAGAATGATACCAACACAGAGGAAAGCAGAGCCAAGAGGAGGTCTGAAACAAATTCCTGACAGCATCATTAGGGCACCTGGAACCAGCTATACCTGAAGCCAACACTAACTCGCAGCTTTTAGTTACACAGCCAATAAATTCCTTTTTTTTGCCCTTAAAACTTTTTTTTTTTTGGTCCTTTTTGAGACCAGCTGCACCGCGCTCAGCCAGTGAGCGCTGTGAGCGCACCGGTCATCCCTATATAGGATCTGAACCCGCGGTGGGAGCGCTGCTGCGCCCCCACCGCACTCTCCTGAGCGCACCACGGGCTCAGCCCTCCTTAAAACATTTTAACTTAGGTTTATGTCATTTAAGTCAAAAGAAGGCCCTAACCTCTCCCTTAAAAGACTTCTCTCCCTTACTTTCCTTATCTGTCTCCCAGGTTCCTGTCATTCAGAGAACCTAAAAGTGACTGGCCTGGGCCGAGCCTGTGGCACACTCGGGAGAGTGCGGCGCTGGGAGCGCAGCAACGCTCCCGCCGCGGGTTCAGATCCTATATAGGAATGGCCGGTGTGCGCACTGGCTGAGCGCAGTGTGGGCGACACCACACCAAGGGTTGTGATCCCCTTACCGGTCACGAAAAAGACAAAAAAAAATAAAAAATAAAAATAAAAAATAAAAAATAAATAAATAAATAAATAAATAAATAAATAAATAAATATATATATATATATATATTAAATAAATAAATAAATAAATAAATAAATAAATAAATAAATAAATAAAATAAATAATAAATAAATAAATAAATAAATATATATATATGACTGGCCTGAATTCACAGCATGCTGTGCTGGGACTTGAGCCCACCTGACTGTAAGCTTGTCTGTCTCAACTCCCCTACCTGTAACCTGGGTTACTAGCACAGTGTCTGCAAACCTTAAGCACTTAATAAATACTTGTTGGGAGACAGAGCAAGCCCTGAGTGCTTCCCTAACAGTTCACTGTACTTTTCTTTGAAACAGCATATCCATTCTGCACATTTCCACTTATCAAAGTCTTAGCATTATTAGCACTGACACCAGCTCAAGGAACTGTTCTTCCATGAAGCCCCACATCACCAGTCCCATCGGAACTAACTGCCCCACACTCTGTGTTGCTGGCACACTCGGGACACGTCTATGTGGCAGACACCCAGCACCCACCTCACAGCGCTGGGCCTCCCTAGGGAACAGCTGCAGCCGTGCTGGGCAGTTCAGTCCATGCGGGCAGGACCTCAAGCACACACAGTGTCTTTCCACTTTTGCCCTGGGATCTGCCCAGAAGTGTGGGAGAGGTCACACACCTGGGGGCCACCCTGAGCCAACTCAGGGTAGGAGCTTGCAGATAAACATCCCAAGCCTTTGTCCTTCAGAATGACAGCTCTGGGAGGTATTCTGTGTGCCTGTCAGAGATCCCAGAGGGATTGGGTTCCCAACCCCTGGGGTAGCGACCTCAAGGACACACCCTCAAATTCACTTTTCCTCCTTCCCTGTCTCATTCCCTGACTTTTGGGATTACCTCCCCAATAAACCTCCTGCCCAAAGTCCTTTTCTCAAGCTCTGTTTTGAGGGAACCTAGATCAAGACACCCTCTCACCACTAAGACAATCCCCTCCCCCCTTGAGTGTGGCTGCTGGTGCCAAGTCTGTCTCCTGCACTGGGCTGTAAGCTCCTGGAATCTCCACAGTGCCCAGGACAGGGCTCTCAGATGAAAGACCAAACTCCTCTCCCTGGCCTTTCTGGCCCGTGGGACTGGCCCTGCCCACCTTTGGTCTCCCTCGGACCCTCTCCATCCCCCCGCTCTGCACACCAGCACCTTGCCTTCCTTGACCACACTGCAGGTCTCCTGCTGTGGGGCCTTTGCTCATGCCACTCCTCCTGCCTGGAACTCACTCCCCCTTTACCTGTTTACTCTCCCTTCTCCTCTGACTCACCCGGACTGTACTGGTAATAATAAGAACAGTTAACTCTAACTTTGAATGAACTGACATTTAATTCTTATGACAACTCTCTGGGGGTAAGTACTGTTGTTACTCCCATTTTATTTTATTTTATTTTTTTTCCTTTTTGTCTTTTTTCGTGACCGGCAACGGATCGCAACCCTCAGTGTCGTGCCCGTACCGGACCGGGACCAGCAACAGGATCGCAACCCTTGGTGTTGCGCCCGCACCTCGCTCAGCCAGTGAGCGGCCGGTCTGTACGTGGGATCCGAACCCTCGGCGGGAGCACCGCCATGCTCCCAAGCGGCGCACTGTAGCAGTGTGCACCGGGCCGGCCCCATTACTCCCATTTTAGACATGAGGAAACTGAGGCACAGAGAGGCCAAATAACGAATCCAGCGTCATGGAGGTAGTAAATGGCAGAGCCTGGACTTGAACCCAGGCAGTCAGGCTCTAGAGTCCACATAGCTGAGCTACACACCACAGCTCCTCCCTCAGTTGCGAGGCCTCCTGGCTCCATGCCTCTCCTTTAGCATGAATCGCTTTTTTAAGAAATTGATATATAATTCACATACCACAAAATTCACCCTTTCAAAGTACGGAATTCAGTGGTCGTTTGTGTATTCCTAGAGTTGTGCAACTGCTAATTCCAGAACATTTCCATCATCCCAAGAAGAAACCCTGTACCCATTAGCAGTCACTCCCCATTCTCCCCTCTCCCCTGTCCCTTCAACCACCAATCTACTTTCTGTTTCCATGGATTTGCCTATTCTGGACATTTCACATAAATGGAATCATCCACATTGTGGTCTTTTGAGACTGGCTTATTTCCCTCAGCTTAATGTTTCCTAGGTTCATCCACATGGCAGCAGGTATCAATACTTTATTCCTCTTTATGGCTGAATAATACTCCACTGCAGGGACACACCACATTGTGTTTATCCGTTCATCAGATGATGGACAGGTGGGTTGTTTCCACCTTTTGGCTACTGTGAATAGTGCTGCTATGAATATTCATGTACAAGTTCTTATGTGAACATCGGTTTTCAGTTCTCTTGGGTATACAAGGATACTACAAAAACTTTGTGGAAAATGGTATTAAAAGATAATACGAATCCTTCCATGAACTTTTTAAAGTACCCTCATATGACTTAGAGTGGAATTGCTGTGTCATATGGTATTATGTGATTACTGAGTAATATCTGTCTTCCATACTAAACTGTAAGCTCCATGTGGACAGGGACCAGGTCTGTATTTTGCTCACCATTTTAGCCTCCATGCATGCCACACAGTCAACAATTATTTGAATAAATGAATGAATGAATGGCAGGTGCCCAGTAACCATCACTAAGCTGAGTACCCTAGGCTAGAATGCTGGGAGTCCTGGTTTCCAGGCCCAGCTCTACCTCTACTCAGCTGTGGGTCTTCAGGCTAGTAGCTTATTCTCTCTGGGCTCCCACTTTCTTAAGTATAATGGGGAAAACAAGGCAACCATGCCTGCGTCAAGCCAGCCCTCACTTACCCTCCCACATCACCTCAGCACTCAGCTTCCTGCTCACCTCGGGCTCCTCCTCCCCATTCTGGCTGAGCTCGCCCTGCAGTCTCTCCCGCAGCTTCCCAAGCTCTGCCCGCAGGCTGCCCATCTCCTGTTCCTTGGTCTGCAGATCTGCCTCCAGCTCCACCTTCTGCTCGATCAGGGCCTTCCCCTGGGCCTCCACCACTGTGACCCGGTGCCGAAGATCATGGTTGATCTTCATCAGCCGGGTCTGCTGCTGTTGCAGCTGTAGAGAGAAGGAGGTCACTGTGTGGGGCTGCCCCCTACAGTAGCTCAGGCTGTGCACTGCACAAGGGCAAACCATCTACAGGTGTGCTATTTATACTGCAGATATCATTACTTGTTTGGAATTTTTTCATATTCCTATAACTCTGCTGACACCAGAGATGGGCAATTTGTATATTTACTATGATAATTTTATGCAGATGGAAGGTAAGTGTCTTGTTAGAATGAATATATTATGACGATTTCCCAACAGGTGGCAGTAACATGCCTTGAAAAAGGGGACATCTTTTTGTAATTCAGGCAGAGACACTGTATGGGCTATTGGAGCAGCCTGGACCATGGTAAGTCTGCTCACAGATGGGCCTGAAGGGGGTGGGCTGAAGGAAGCCTCAGGGACAGAGCAAAGACTGATGGGGCTTCGGGACCTTCCCAGGGTGTGGAAGGAGCAAGGTCACTGGGCAGTGCCCAGTACTGCTGCTTCGAGGCTGGGCCAAGCCATGGGAAGGATCCCCACCCCACAGAGCCCAAAGAATGAGCCCCAGGGGGAGAGGGGAAGCTCCTGAGTGGAGGATCTAGTCTCTTGCTGTTACCTACTGGCCAGGAGAATGGCCACGGTTTAGGGACGCATCACTTACAGCCTCGACATCCTCATTTTTCAGGCCGAGCTCCCTGTCCTTGGCGCGGATCTCGTCGCGCTGCTTGTCCACCACCTCCTTCAACTTCTTCATCACCTGCCGCTCCCGCTCTGACATGCCTGGGGTGGGGCGAGGGAGACCAGCACGTGAATTGCCCCTCCCCTGCTTAAATCACACTTCCCTCCCGCTGAGAACGAAACTGAGGCCCTAGTCCCCAGTCTCGCCCTCCAAACCCTTCACGCCCTCCCTTTCTGTGCCTTGATCTTGCCGAGCTCATACCCACCTCAAGGCCCTGCCCATGCTGCCCCTCCTTCCAGCCTCTCCACGGCTGGCTCCCCTCATTTTTCAGGCCTCAGCTCCAATGTCACCTCTTCATAGAGGCATTCCCCCCCCGACCACCCTAAAGTAGCCCCCTACCTCCCACCCAGCCAGGTAGCTTCTCCCTAGCTTCACTTCCCCACCCACCATTTAGTACCTTTGCAGCACTTTTTACATTTACTAAGTGTCTTGTGTGTCCTTTTATCCAACAAAAGATGAGACTGCACAATGATTCACAGGGTAGGAGCTCAAATGCTGGCTCTCCTATTCATTAGCTGTGTGGCCTTGGGCAATCCTCTTTTTGCCTCAGTTTCCACATCTATAAAATGGGATGATAACAGTACCTACCCCATGGGGCTGTTGTGAGGACAGACTGAGTTGATGCATATGAACACTGAAGATGATGCCTGGCACATGGCAGGCAACCAAGGGCTGTCTGACTTGCTTATTTATTGTCAGTTTCCCCCAACCTCCACTGGACTGTCACTCCCAGGAGGGCAAGGCCTCGTCTGATCTACTTGCTGTTGTACTCCAGGGCCTTGCACAGTGCCTGGCACATAGTAGGTGCCCATTAATTTGGTGAATGAATGAACTGTGAGGATGGGGCTGTTGTATTACTTTCCTGTGGCTGCTGTAACAAATGACCAACACATTTGAAAGCTTAAACCATCAGAAACTTATTTCCTCATAGTTCCAGGAGCCAGAAGTTCAAAATCAGTCTGACATCAGGGAGTTTCCAGGGCCACGCTCCCTCTGGAGGCTCTGGGGAGAATTCGTTCCTTGCCTCTTCCAGCTTCTGATGGCTGTCAGCATTCCTTGGCTTGTGGCCACATTTCTCCAGTCTCTGCCTCTGTGGTCATGTGGCCTTCTCCTCTTCTGTCTGTCAAATCTCTCTCTGCCTTCCTCTTATAAGGACACTTGTGACTGCACTGAGGGCTCTCCCAAATAACCCTGGATAACCTTCCCCTCTCAAGATCCTAAACTAAATGTCACCTCTGCAAAGATTTTATCATACCAGGTAACATCCATAGGTTCCAGGGCTTGGGACCTGATATTTTTGGGGCCATTATTCAGCCTTCCACAGGTGCTGTGGCTGACAGCTAATCCCTGCTCTCTGGAGACCGGGGCTGGGTAGAGGGTGGGCAGGATCAACATAGATTAACAAGACAGAAACATCCTCCTTAGCTGCCCCCTGGGACTCAGGGGACATGTGGCCAGATCCAACCCCAAGGAGAGAAACCATGGGGGTGATTCCTCAGCTGTTTTCCCTATGTGATTCTCTCCCCATGTTGCTCCATCACATCTAGAATGTTTCCGCTGACCTCCCCTCTCCTGTCCTAGATATTCCCAAGCAGGTGGTCACCACCATGAACGAGCATCTGTGGCGTGTGTCCAGAACAAACCCAGACAAGGGCCCTGCCCTTAAAAAGCTTGGGATTTTATAGAATAGGCATGAGCGCAGGACAGCGCTGGAGGGCAGCCCTCCTGTCTGCATCGTCTCTGTCCTCCTGGGCTTCACACGTGGCAGACACTCAGGCTGGCTGCTAGAACAGGGACAGATGCCTCCCTCATGCTCCCAAAGTGCAGCTTCCTCCTGATAAGCCCAGGAAGAACAAACCACTCTGTACCCTGGACCCTATTTTATTCTCATTCCCAACCACTGGAAGTGGGTATTATTACCACTGTTGTTTATAATATCAGTCCCATTTTACAGATATGAAAAACCGAGGCCCAGAGACAGACTTGTTCAAAGTTGCAGAGTTATGGCTCAAATCAGGTTTTCAGATTCTGAATCCCACGTCCTCTCCATATGCCATGCTGCCTTGTCACCAGGGGACAAGACTCAGGAGGCTACCTAATGTCACCAGGATGGGTCACCATGGGGCAGACTGTAGTCCATACTTTCTCCCAGGACAGGGCGCCTGCTGGCAGCACCCTCACATCACACCCCCCCAAACACATTCACCTGTCGAGTATTTATAGAGTCCCTGATGTGTCTGTGACACTGAGCTAGTCACAAGGGTCAGGATGGTCACTAAATGAAACAAGATTCTGTGCTTACTGACTTACAGACATCAGACAGACACATGTCATTACAGACCATGACGAGTGCTGTGATGGATACAACAGGGGCTGAGAACGAATGACCAGGGAGACCCAGTGTGGACTGTGGGCACAGGGAAGAAGGCCTCTAGGGCAAGGGTCATTTATGCTGAGACCTGAAGCCAGCAGAGGCTGGGTGACGAGGATAAGCATTCCAGGCAGGTAGCAGGAAGTGCAAAGACCCTAGAGGGGAACGAGATGTGTCTGGGAAGTTGGAGGATGACATAGGGCCGAGATGTGGAGGCCATAGGTGTGACACCAGCTTGAGGTGGGAGCAAGCACAGACCACAAAGGACCTCAAGGCCAGAGTAAGGAGGTTGGAGTTTCCTCTGAAGTGGCACCATGATCTCAACACATAGAGGCTGCACAGGGCAGGAGGGACAGCCAGAGAGGAAAGATTTACAGGAGGGGTGGTGTGCCTACAGATGTAAATGACACAATGAGGGACGGGACCCGACAGTTTAAGGAACTATAATGAGAAATGCAGACGGGGCCCCGAGTGACTGGGAGGCCCCAGACCACACATGGCTTATGACTTTGAAGTGGCATTAACCTCTCTGAGCTTCCGTTTTCGTATGTGTAATGTTGGCATGCTAATGATTTTTCTATACTCCATCTCTGTGACCACACTGTTCATACAAAGCAAGTACAGCGGGAAGTTACACAAGGCCATGTAATAAGATCTTCTCCTTCTAGTGGGCACAGGAACATCAGCTCAGGCCCTGAGACCACTCAGCTTGCTCCTTGTATCTGCTGAGTCCTGCTCAGCTATGAGGCAGAGAGCTGCAGAAAACCCTAGGGCCCCTCAGAGATGCCAGCCTGGGCTGAGATGGGAAGGCAGTGATGGAAAGAAAGGGCAAGAATCCATTTTGCCACCATAATGGCTAAAATGAAAAGGACTGACACGCTGGCGAGAAGGAGGGGCAGCTGGAAGACTCAAACACTGCTGCTGGAAGTGTTACTTTGGAAATTGGTTGGCATTACCTACTAAAGCAGACACTCATACTCTGTGAGCCAGCCATTGTGTCCTGGTTATATCCCCAACAGACAGGCCAGTTTTATTCATAATAGCTCCAAACTAGAAATAACCAAAATGCCCATCAACAGTAGAATGAAAAAAATTAGCTCTGGTAATAACACACGATAGAATACTACACAGCAATGAAAAAGAACAAACTACTATGATACACAACATGGATAACTCTCTCAGACATGATGCGAAAGCCAGTCAAAAAGTACTAGACGACCCACAGAACAGGAGAAAATATTTGGAAATTACATATCTGATAAGGGACTAGTATCCATAATATATAAAGAACTCTTACAACTTAACAATTAACAACTCAATTTAAAAATGTGCAAATGATCTAAATACACATTTCACCAAAAAAGAGGTATAAGTAGCCAATAAGCACATGGAAAAATGCTCAACATTATGAACCATCAGGGAAATCCAAGCCACAATGAGATACCATTTCGCACCCACTAGGATGGCTATAATCAAAGAGACAGACAATAACAAATGTTGGTGAGGATGTGGAGAAACTAGAACCATCATACGCTGCTGCTGGGAAGGCAAAATGATGCAGCTGTTGTGGGAAACAGTTTTCTGGTTTTCATTTCGCACCCACTAGGATGGCTATAATCAAAGAGACAGACAATAACAAATGTTGGTGAGGATGTGGAGAAACTAGAACCGTCATACGCTGCTGCTGGGAAGGCAAAATGATGCAGCTGTTGTGGGAAACAGTTTTCTGGTTTCTCAGAAAGTTAAACATAGAGCTACCATATGACCCAGCAATTCCATTCCTAGGCATAGACCCAAAAGAACTGAAATCACATGTCCACACAAACGTGTACACAAACATTCATAGCAGAACTATTCATAATAGCCAAAAGAGGAAACAACCGAAATGTCCTTCAACAGATGAATGGATAAATAAAATGTGATATATCCTTGCAATGGAGTATTCTTCGGCCATAAAAAGCAATGAAGCACTGACACATGCTACAACATGGATGAATTTCACAAACATGATGCTAAGTAAAAGAAGCCAGATACAAAAGGCCACATACTGTATCATTCCATTTATATGAAATGTCCAGAAGAGGCAAATCCACAGAGGCAGAAAGTAGATCAATCAGTCGTTGCCAAGGCCTGGGGGAGAGAGGCGGGCTGCTTTTTGGGATGACAAAAATCTTTTAAAATTAGGTGGTGATGATGGTTGCACACTATGTGAATACGCTAAAAACCACTGAGGTGTACACTTTATAAGGGTGAATCTCATGGTATGTGAATTTTATACCAATTTTCAAAAAGTATATACTGTACGAGGTATCTCCTAAAAGTTCATACTAGGCCGGCCCATGGCTCACTTGGTAGAGTGTGGTGCTGATAACACCAAGGCCCTGGGTTCGGATCCTATATAGGGATGGCCGGTTTGCTCACTGGCTGAGCGCGGTGCTGACAAAACCAAGCCAAGGGTTGAGATCCCCTTACTGATCATTTTTTTTTCCTTTTTGTCTTTTTTCGTGTCCGGCAACGGACTGCAACCCTCAGTGTCGCGCCCGTACCGGACCGGGACCGGCAACGGGATCGCAACCCTCAGTGCTGCACCCGCACCTCGCTCAGCCAGTGAGCAGGAACCGGTCTGTATGTGGGATCCGAACCCTCGGCGGGAGCGCCGCCGCACTCCCA